AGAATGTTACTGTGGCAGGAGGCACTCGGGAGTTTTTGGTCCATTTTCTTGTCAGATTCCTGCACTTTACCTCTATGAGTTTGTCTCTCTTCTTCAGGTGGTTCTTCAGTTTCCTTTCCTCTCGCTCTCTGTCCTCTCTCATTTTCTGCCAAGCCCTGTCAGCCTCCTTCTTCTCCTTCTCCTTCTCCCTCAGCTCCTGCCGAGTGTCTCTGAGTTGAGCCGTCAGAGAGGACACCGTCTGATGGTGACTCTTCTGGTGAAAAGAAAAAGGAAAGGCTGAAATGTGCTGTAGCTGGAGCTGGAAGCCAACAGGGTCTGTATAGTTAATTTATCTTCATTTCCGTCAGCCGTGCTTCTTCTCTGTTTTCCCTGCCAGCTGCTGAATTTAACCCCTTTTCTAACACTTAAGATTAGGCTCAATTAAACAGTCTGACATTTTGGCAAACAGGCTTTTATGCTTTGTTGCTGAGAAATGTATTATAAATGCAAAGCTATAAGCCAGCAGCTGATTGGCTTAGTTAAGCATACATCCCAGAAACAGGTGGATTGTTCATCCCTCCCCCTCACTATACTTGCTTGATAAGTGACAGAAAAAAATCAGTTATCAGAATATGTGCTGATTGTTTTTGTGTTGATTAACAGTTTCAGCTTTACTCTTATTCAGTCATGGTCATGAGAGCAAAATAAATCTCAGAACCTGGGAACTTTTTAGCTTTCCTAAAAATTCTAGAAGCCAAATTTTGCATCATATCTTCAGTTCTCTAATTCATTGTCCTCTACAAGATGAGCAGTATAAATAACATATAGGTGGATAGATACAATTTTAAAGTCCTTTCCTCATGCTAATACCTCACCTGCACCATGTCCTGGTATTCCTGCAGGGCTGTGGTGAGTTTGGTCACCTGCTGGCACAAGGCGGCGCCATTTACTTCTCTGTCCTTCAACAAGGCTGCCAGCTCAGCCCTGTTCCCTGCCGATGCCTGCCCAGTCCCAGAGTCAGAGAGAGCCTGGAGGAAAATGACATGTTATGGTTAAAAGTTTCCCTGTGGTCATTGAAGTCAGTTTTACTGACAAACCTCGCCTGAAACCAGAAGGACTGAGTCTACACAACAGACTTCACATTCAATAAAACAGAGAATGGAAGCTCTGTAACTTTCCAAGAAGAAGAGCTCAAATGAACACTTATGTCACTTTATACCAGTCATAGTTCAGCTACCAGAAAACTCTTCTTCCAAGCTGAGTTTGTCCTGTTAAGTCTGTGGCTAAAGTACAGGAATACTTCTAACTATAAAGCAGGGGACCTGTGTGTAGGCTGAGAAACCAAATACCTCCACATCTTTATGACAGATGTCCACCTCCTCCTTGAGGCATTGGACCAGAGCTTCCTTCTCCTGCAGCACAGCAGCAAGGGCCCGGTCCCTCTGTCTCCACACCTCCCTCTCTTTCTCCACATCCTTCAACACTTGCTCCTTCTCCCTCAGAGCCGATTGCAGGTCCTGGAACAAGCGCAAAACATGGGTCAATCTAAATCAAATTTTAACGGGAAGTAAGTTTTCTTGGGGCAGAGTACAAATGTACACAGTGTCTGGGTGTAGTAAAGATGTAGGTGTGTCTGAACCACAGTGAATGCAATAACACCAATGATTTCAAGTGTTTGTGCTCCTACATTGATAACATCCTGGTTGCACTGCAGCACTGTGTTGAGCGCGTCGAGGTCTTTCTCCCGGTCTCTCCCAGCCTTCCTCAGTGCTTCAATCTCTTTCTCCATGTCCTTCTCTCTCTCAGTCATTTCAGATCTCAAAGTCTCCAGAGCAGCCTAACACAGAACATGTTATATCTACATATGAGACATCGAAATTACATTTAACTACATCTGTGAACTCTGATTTGTCAAAAAA